AGTACTTCCATAGCACTCAATCATTTTTGGCTTAGGCTCTTCTGGAGCTAGTTGTACTTCTGTGTTTTCAGTAGGGCCCGATAGATTTCTCCTTCATGAAATAGCCCAATCTTCTTTTGAGCCTGTACTTAATTAAGTCTTCCCTGCCCCTGCGCAGTTTGTTTTCAATCACTAAATCTATCAACATAATTAAAGCTTGTAGCATTCCAATCGAGTTTCTAAATGTACCATTCTTTTCTAGCAAATATTTTGTCATTTTATTTAATTTTATTTTTTCTGTCCTGGGTAATTCTTAAGCCAATTATTTTAGTAAGTAACACTAAACAATCCTTTGACCCCTCTGTACTTTTGCCCTTTGTGGGAGCCTCTAGCTTTTGTTGCCATAGGCTTATGAAGAATATATTTATCAGTTAATATGTAAAAAGTTGGGTTAGAGGATTTAACCACAATTACTAAATTTTGATTGGGAAGGGAGATCTTTTTTGGCAGATCATCATTTTAGGAAAATCTGTACCCATTTTGAGGTTGACATACCCTTTGCTTTCTTCCAAGTATTAATATTGGTCTCTTCTTTGCACTGGTATTGTTTCTAAAAATGTTATTTTAAAGGCTTCAAGTTTTAAATCAAGGTTTTGGAGATTGTAGGAACAGTAAGTTTATGTAAAGTTGGATAAAGTTACTTTTTCTCTCTCTGTAGGTTAGTAATCCAGTGTTGCATATGATTGTGGGGAAATGACTTCAATGTAATAAAATAGTCTGAAATGTTGGTAACGTTCATGAAAATGTCAGGAAGCTGCATCCATCTTTAACCCTAGAAGCCTCTAGCCTGACATATCTTTTTTCTTTATACCTCCATTAGATTTTTGCGCATAGTTTTGCAAAGATTTTCAAGGAAAACTTACTACCTAAGAACCTTGTGAGTTTTTAAGAAAGGTGCCATTACACGCATGTACACAAAATTGTAATGTAGTTAAACAATTATTGATAACTACTTTGTTACATGTAATCTTTACTTACTTACAAAATTGCATAATAGTAATAGCTTTGAATTAAAAAAAAAAATAAATTGCAAGTATTCTTAGATGATTTTTTTTTTACCTTTTACAAGAAATTTTTTACCTGAAAAAAGCCTAAGAGATTGAAAATCTGAATGTTTTGAACAGGCCTTCAACTTATCTTTTCATACCAAATATGTAATGCTTATTAAAGCTGAGTAAGAAAATAACTTCCTTTAGCAAATGTTAAATGCTCCTTAAAATATGTAGACTCCAGGCAGCGTGCTCTGTAGCATAAAGCACCACCAGGTGGTGCTAGTGGAATATATTTAATGGGGGTTTCATGGCACTTCGACTCCGTCTTAACTGATGTAAACGAGACGGGTGTAGTATACGAAGACTTACTTTCCAGGCAACAAGCCTGTTTGTACAATTAAAAAGAGTAAATTGAAGTATTGTGTAGGGGCTTTTTAAAAGTTGGATGTAGATGCTGATCTGTAGGGTGGCAAATGTGGGAAGCAGACGGTATGGAGCCGTAATCCCAGGTTCTTCACCTGCTCTTTTGTTAATTCTGAGAGCAGTTCATGAAGCTTGTTCATTCATGTACTATGAGCATATCCTATCATGACCATTTGCTTATTTACCTACTACATTTTGACTTTAAATAGCAAAATAACTTTTTAATCATGGTGTTTTAACTGTTAAGATTTTGGTCAGTGCAAGAATCTTTCCTCTTAAGGAATGCACAGAAATAAGGATCTCATTTTACAAGGGAGTAGGGGAGTCTAGTTTTCTGCTTTAAAGCATTATGTGGCTTAAAGTCAAAGTAGAAACAAATTCTAGTTCTGAACATAGATTTTTAGATACATTTTTTACCAACTCTTATGAGGGGTTTCTTTTGACTCTCTTGAAAATTGTATCTTTTAAAAAAAAAGCGGGGGGACACACACATGTTAGAGAACAGTGTGGACTGCAAAAGTTTGGAGTAAATTTCTGTGGCCTACTGTGTTGAGCAGGTTTGGTTTTGTCTTAATGTACCCTGACATAAAATATGTATATTCTTTGAAAGCATGAAGTAGAGCATTTTACAGCATTAAATTAGCTTAAATTGTCCTATACAGCATCCCCCTTTTAAAGAGAATTATTAGAATTTGGAAAACAAACAGAATGTCTGTGAACCAAAGTGACTGTCTCCTGTCTAGTCAAAAAGCAAAATCCAGAACAACTGCAAACAAAAACCCCCAAACCTATTTTGCTTGTAACTTTATTATTGTCACCAAGCTAAATATTTTAGGATTGTATGTGCCAGTGCCACATTAGTAACCACCTCACTGCAGCTAAAAACAAACTAAATAAAACCACATGACAGCCACTAATATGTCTGTAAAATCTCGGTTGACTATGGTTGACCGAACCAGAGGATGGGTTTTTTGGAGTTTGTGGCCCTACCCATTTACTCTGGGTAGCAAAGTTATTTAACATCTGGATTTTACTGTCTTAGGCGCAATGGTATGGGGTTTTGCGTGAGCGGAAATTCTTCCCCTTCTTTTCCAAGTCTGCTACACCAAATACCTCATAGAATAACCGCATGCATATACAAAACCATCTCAGAGTGGATGTCAAATATCCAGTGTATGCTGCTTCTGAAAGTGATTTTTATGTCTTGTTTTCCTGCTTGAGATAATTTTTTACTTGTCTTCCCCCCCCTCCCCCGGTGTATAAATGTTCTTGTGCTAGAGGAAAGGAAATGTGGCCTCTTCAAATGTTTCTTTCTCCCACCCTGAGTTTAATTTTATGTACTCATTTTAGGAAGGAGGTTTTGTACTACCTACCTTAAAATTTGATACGATTCACTTACTACCATGGAATGATAGTGTTATTGCATTACTCTCACTTCTGAAAATTATCAGTGTAGCATTAATGAGAATCAATAAAATGTCAAATGTGTTAAAATTCCTATCCAGGTCACTTTTTTTTTTCACTGCACAAAATACCGGGAGGGATCAAGCAGTAAGCTGTGTGCCATAACACAGTTTATAGTACAGCACTGTAAAATCTGTGCAAAACACTGATTTTATGTAATTTTTAAAAAAAATCTAAGTGTAATATCAATGTATTAAATTTAGAAATTGCATGAGAGGCAACTTTTTGGATCTGTTTGAATACAAAGATTGAAGAGCGATTAGTGAAAAGCTGTTAGAAGTATGTGCTAACGTGTGTGGTTTTTTGGAAGCAAGATCCAAAAAGGGAGCACTTGCCAGACGTGCCTTTATAGGGTGTGAACAGGTTAAGAAATACATTCTGCTGCATTGTTCTTTAAACTACCCGCTCATCAGAAAAATCAGTTTGATGGGGCTTCTGTCAACGTCTTGGTTTTTCAGCCGTTAGGATTTTGTGGTATGACCACTGTTCTGAACTGGGTTATGCGACTGTTTTCTGAATGTCGTTTATAGTGAAGGAATGCCCATAATACTGAATCTTTTTAAAAGATCATGTAAATAGTTTCATTTTCACTTGCCTCATTCAGCTGGTCGCAGCAGTTTTTTTGCCCTGTTAAACCAGTTGTTTGAATGGATCTGGAGTTATGCTAATACAAAAGAGGACAGGATTTTATTCTCTGTGTTTATTGAAAGATCCAGTCTCTCTGTAATATTGAAATGTTCTTTTGAGTTTTGAGTAGCGATAAAATCTGACTTGTGTGTACAGCACTCTACCAAATTCCAGTTTTGATTAGGAGGAGGGGGCAGAAAATCTGTAAAAACAAGAGTAAGAAATTCTTACCTTTTTATATCTGCATGTTACGCTATTTACTGTTAAGACGCTTGGAACATTGAATAGGAAGTGTTTTATCTCTGAGTTACTCTCTGAGCTTTTTGTAAAGGGAGAGGCTTCTAGATATCCATTTCTTTATTTAAAACTTTGACCTACTAAATGTTCTTAAAAGGAAAAATTATAGTCTAATTTTAAAACAATATAAAGCAAAGTTACGATTTTTACTGAAAGGTCTGGTTCTTAAGGATTGTGGTTTCCCTCCTTATGGCAAAGATAAGGTTATTCTAAGAGTGAAATAGGAAAAGTAAAAATAGTTCTGAAACCGATAGTATTCCTCTCCCGTGCAGTGCATTAAGTACGATGCCTTAATTATCAACCTGAAATTCAAGTTCTGTTGAAGTTATTTGAAGAAATATGCTGTTGATTCAGCGGTGTCAAAATTTCGCAGCTGAAAATAAACTTAACACTGTGAATACTTGATTGCCGTTTTCTCTTGAGTGGAACTAGAGCACTTGAGGGTTTTTTAATTGTGTTGCGATTTGAATTGGTGAGTTTATCATCATCACTGAATGAGTTTGAGGTGCGCAGTAGATACATGAACAATAGTTTAAGTTACTGAAGACATGCGGTCTGTGTTTTTCTTTGGGGATGGCAGCGAGAGCAGAGAGAAGAAGCAGTATTAAATGCCGCTGAGAAGGGAGCTGCAGCTCTGTGGCTCAGGCAGTGTCGAGTTGGGGGTTTTCCTGAGTATTTTAGGGCAGCTAGCTTTAGACAGTGTGCGTGCACACAGGACTTGGGTTTGTGCAATACTTTAATTGATGTTAGACTTTAGAATCTAGGTGTCTTTAATGAAATTGTCAGGTAGCTTTTTGTTTCGTTTATGGAAGCTGGTTTGCCTATTCACTTCTGGTAACACTTGTTTCTTGTGTTCGTTATTTCTGTTGCAAGACTACTACAGGGCCGATGTCGAGCACAGTGTGTATTTATAATAGGGCCGGAATTGAAAAAGGGTGGGTGTTGCAGGTCAAGGAGGGGGGTTTTGGCTTAGATGGAGATCTTTTCCTTTGTCTGTACTGTCTTACTTTTATAAATATTCAGCTGATTGAAAATATTTTTAAAACGAGGCTCTAAAAAAAATAAAATTCCAAATATTCAATTAAGTCACTTGCTAAGTCCTTCAGTTGTGTTGTTCAGTTATGTGGTGTTTTGATTATTTGCCATTTTATTTTTCAGCATTGTCAGTGAAGCAGGAGCATCTATCTACAGCGTCAGTCCAGAAGCGTCCAAGGAAATGCCAGACCTAGACCCTAACCTAAGAAGTGCAGGTAGGAAATGTGTTTCATTTTATCACCATTTCAACATGGAGCTCAGGTCTCAGTTCTCAGACTGTATTGTTTATAATATTAAATATAATAATAGTTAAAAGTATAAAAAGTGAAGGTTTTGGATGTTTTGTTTCTAAACTTTAATTCTTTTATCATTTCACATTTGAAGTCCTAGGTATGTAAATCAGTGACATCATCTTCTACTAAGGCCCGTAATGTAATGGTCCTTGTCCTTCAATAGGCTGGTACAGGAGAATTTATGGGGATTAATATAACCAATGAATTGCATAAACTTTCACGTTGGACATGTCTGTGCCCACAAAAGCTAGATCTTCCGTCTCTTCTCTTGTCCCTTGTACGTACACAAATCTCTCTAACAATTAAACGTTTCAAGGGTGAGGAAAAAAACCATAAGAATAGAACAGGTAATTTAAAGATGTACATTCATTGTGATCACTTTGAAGTCTTCATGTAGCTAAATATAGTCCTCAAGAAATACTATTTAGTTTTTAGTTGTTTAAAAAAAAATATCTATTTCAGCATCAATATTATGGAGTTATGATACAGCCCCAGTTCTTAGAAATGTGCAAGTGTTGCCACTCAAAATTTTCAGTGTTTGGTTGAAGAGTCTTTAAAGATCAAATTCCTAGCAGTTTCATTGGTGTCCAAATTCTACTCGTGGATTTGGTTTATTAGAAGACAGCTGTAAGGGCAGGTCTGAGGTTATTTTTGGATTACTTCATTTGTGTATTTTTACTAGTGTGTCTTTTTGTATTTGTTTATCTCAGGTTTTTTTTTCTTTTCTTGGTTTTCCTGCAATTTGCTGTCATAGTCAATCAAATAGAGCATATTTGAAACTGCAGTAATACTTATGTATAAATCTTTTCCAGTCAAAATTATACTGATTTTAATTTTAGTGTTATGCTAGCAGCTTACTGGCCTGGAAATCCTTAGGATGGTGTAAAAGTAGATCAGCAGAAAACAGTTCTGAAGTTACGTGGTATTTGGGAGCAAAACTTTCTAGAATTCTGCGTGTTGCCCTCTTCTCTGATTTCCACGAAGGTGAAAAAGGGATTTGTGTTAACTCGACGTTTCAAGTGACTGTTTTTACAGGAATATTCTTTAAATGTCTATATCAGCCCTTCCATTTGCAGGACAGGCCTCTAGCTGCTTCTTGCTTGACTCTTTCCTCCCTCCCTGCCTGCCAACAGACTCCGTTGTGATTATTTCTTCCCTGGGCCATAGAGGTTTTGAACGTGTCATGGCGTAGCCAGAGCGAGTATTAGGCATGTGACATTTCTCTATTTGTGACAGATGCCACTAACTTTCTCTTGGCCCAAAGGGGTTTTTTATGTTGCTGATATATTAAATGTGGGTTTAGAGTTGATGTAAATGAAAAGAAAAACACTGAAAAGGAGGAAGTCTAATTATTAACACTATACTTTTCCAGATGTACATAATTTTCTTTTTTTTTTCAAATTTAAGTTTTGAACATTTCGGACATTTTTATTTAGTGTTGTGCATCATATACAGTAAATTAAAATCAAATTTGTAATACATGACCAATTTCAGTATTAATTATCTAGACTTCATAATTTCCCCATTATTACTAGGAATTGCTTCAGGCATAACTTAAGTGCTGTTGCATCTGGTTTGAAAAGCATCAGCAATTTTAATGTGCTGCAGCAGCACAAAATGAATAGAAATTGAAAAAGGGTAGGATAGAAAGTGAAAAATAAGTGCTTAGTTCCATGGATGTTGGCTGTTATGGAACTGACAGCTAGAAGTATATTTATTACAATAGAGTCTTTCTAGAAGTTTTAGACTTTTTCATCTTGACGTTTTTTGGTGTCAATTTGTAATTAGCTGTGCTAAAGCTGTGGACTGTTTTTTTTAAAGCTGAACATAAAAATGTGACATAACATTAGAGGAAACATCAACTGATGTTTGGGGGGTTTTTTGCAAACTTTTTTCTTGACTAGCTTTTACTTTTGTTCTTTTGATTTTCCTTTAATTTGCAGCAAACAGAAAAGTGACATGGTGTCAAAGCTGCCTTGCTTTTTATTTTAATTGTTGTGTTACATCATGTCAGATTCTGTGCTTACATGATAGCATTTAGTACATTAAAGGAAGCTGACAGCTGCATGATGAAGTGTGACATTTATAGTTAAAATAAAAGGTGCAACTGATGTTGAGATATCTGTGATCTTAACGCAGTTTGCCACTTTAACATTTTTCTCAACACAAACTTTAGAGAAGGGTTTGGGGTTTTTTTGAATTACACAAGTAGGCCTATGTTTGTCCATCAGGTACATAAATGTAAAATATTAAATAATGCATATTATATGAGAACTTACTCTGACATCTTGTGATATGATCTGTCATATTTGCAGTTCTGTTTAGCAACTGTTTGTAGTAAGTTTTCACTTCATGATAAAAATATTACCTTAGTAATTTCTCCTTGGCTGAGCGTTGTATATAGGGGGAAAACCAGCAACCTTTAGCATTTCTTGGGGGTGCTAATTAAAGATATTAGTTAAGCCAAGAACACAACTGTTTTGGTTGGGGTTTTTTTTCCCCTTTGAGCTGTCTTTGAAGGTCATGAATGACATGGATTTGTAATAAATGATTGAGAAATATCTCATTGTAAACTAATAGTGTATGTATGCACTATAGTGGAAAGTCTTTATAGTCATCTGTACAGCGCTTTTAGCCAAAATTGCACATGCTTGGGAAAAAAAAAAAAAATGCTCATTTCGTAAACAATTTGCTGGTATCTACAGTGCAGAGAATGGAATAAGGTCTCTCCAACTTTAGAATTGTTCTCCAGAGATGGCTACCTTCTTTCTGGCACTAAGCAATATCAGCTCCTAATATCAATTCTTTACACTGAACCAGGTTCTTTAAAATTTCTATAGCACCAAATCTGAATATTTTACGGAAGTGCAGAAGCTTCTGTACTGCTGCTCCATTTCCTATAAAATCTTCTGGAGTGGGACTCAACTAAGTAGATAATAAAGAACTTGATGAAATCTAGTTACTTGTGTTTGAGTAGAGTGAGAAGGTATATATCCCCTTCTGACAGTCATTGTAGGATTAATGAGCAGAACAGCTATTTCTCAGCCTCACAGAATTGGGAGATAAGAGGCTTATAGGCCAGAGCAATAGAAGGATTTCCTACTTGATAGGCTGAGGAAGTTCAGCTGCAGGAGATTAAGAGGGTTCTGTCTAGAGAACAAGCCACTGGAGTTCAGTAATGGGAGTTTTTGGATGGACTTGCGGTAGGGTTACAGCCTGACAGAGAAGGGAATGCAAGGCTTCCTTGAATTCTTCCCAAAAGCTGTGCCTAAGGACAGGCTGAAGGTTTGGGGTGGGAATTGTTGTAGGGGAGAACGGACACTGTAAAAAGAGTGCTTAGCAAGCCAGGAATGTTGATCACCTTTGTGAAAGTTATTAATATGTGCCCCCTCAAGGCTTTGTGGCTGCCTGCTCTAGGGTTGGTGGAACGGTAATGAGGGAGCTGCGAGGCTGGGTGGGTGACCGCAGTTCTGGGTCTGTCCCGGCATGTGTCCTCTGGCAACCCTTTTAGAGAAGTCAAATGTTTAATTTGGTGGATTTTTCGTAAAGCCATCAAATTCATATTTGCTTGGCTGAGCTATTCTTTTGCTGGCTTTTTTTCCTTATATTTTTCTTCCTGAGCTACCATCAGTGTAACACTTCATATTTAACCTTTGGTTAGCTTTTACTTACGGCATCTTCAAGGAGGAGTTTTTCACTGTAACTTGTCCATAAGATCTTCTGGATTACTGTAGGTCTCTGTGCTTGAGATTTGCTTGTGCCTTTTTTTTAATGGAAGGCTTGGATGCAAATTTCCCTTTCAAGTAGTTTTAAGTGAACTGTTCCTTTGCCTTGCAAGTTTACCAGTAATTCTGGGTTCCTCTGTCAAGACCATATAGTTGTGTCACCCAGTTAGGAAAGCGACAAACGTAGATAAAATATTCCCTAAAGTTACCTTTTTTTGCAAAGATTTGGAATACTAACAGGGCAAGCGTGTGTGTTGTGCTGCGTGCACAGGTATGACCCAGTACAGAAACTGTGTTGCTTCTAAAGGATGATTTCTGAGGATAAAGAAGAATCTCAGAGAGCAAAAGGTCACACAGCACAGCTTGCCTTAGCATTGTCAAATCCCATCTGCTTGTCTCCTCTCCACAGGGCAGAATACATTGGATTATTGTACACTCAAAGTTCAGCACACCACTTGCACTTTTCCTTGCAAAAGAAAGCCTTATAGGCTTTGGGGGCTTGTTAGGACTTTGAGACTGTCATGCTACAGGGTTTTATTCCCTGGGGTGGTGTTAAAGATAGAGACATACGGTTCAGAGCTGTCATGCTGGCCAGCAAGTAGAAGGTAGAGATTGGAAAAAATGTAATTTCTTTTGACTTTATCTTAAGGAAAGTAAAACAATTTGATGATTAGATGTGTGGGACATAGTGCCTTGATGTCTACTTGAGCTAATTTCTTCATCTTCTTAAAAGAGCACTACTCCCCCTTGGCTACTCAGGAGAGAAGGTCATTTTTCAAAAACTTTATTGGACAGAAGTCTTACGGTTAAACCATTCGCACTGCTTTCTAAGTGGAAGCTTCCTTCTACAGGAATCCTCGTAGAGGATTGGTGCAAGTTCCACAAGGTTTCAGAAAGAGTTAGAAGAAAGGAAAGTAAGCGCTGAATTCTTATGCATTAAAACATTTTGCCAGCCTGTTTAGTTGGGTTATGCACAATTACAGCAGTACAAAATGAAATTGTATTCCATCTTTCATCTGCTGCAGTCTGTAGCACTTAAGAATTAGTGGCATGTGAGAGATGGTATGTAATCGTTAACATCCTGCTCATCAGCACTGTGTTTCCTTTGAAGCTGTAGAGTTTAGTAGTAGGCTGGGGTAGAGGAGCTTGAGCTTCTGTAATCTGCAAGATCAAGACCCACTTAGATTCCCCATGGCT